GTATATATACGCTGTGTGTTTTTCATCTAAATGTAGCTGACGATGATTACAGTTGTAATTGAAAGCTTCTGTTTTAAATAAAAATTTTAAAACTATGATTGTTGAATTAATACAATTAATCTTATCGTTTATCAATTTATTATCAACAAACAATATTGAAATAGTTAAATGGTCTAATAAAACAACATTATACAATGCGGCACAAATTACCACTATCTGCATTTTTACAAACGCCTGAACGAATGGTCAAAGATTAGTCTATTCTAAATGAACAAACACCATTTGCAACTCATATTACGTACAAAGATGATCTTGATTTAGAAGCAGTCGAATGGGTGAAAAAAGTTGATAAGACACAAATTTTACAATTGACTACATTTAACTTTGTGATACCATCAAAAGATCGAAAAATGAATACATCAACATGGGTTAATCTATTACATTCAATGGCATGGGATTCATATGATCATTTTAAAGGTTGGCTTCATTCAGCAGGTTTATTAGATTTTTCTCGTTTTTTACTACCAATATTTTGTACGTGTCGATATGGTCTCAAAGAATTTGCCTGTGTTCATGCAGTTGGTATGATGATGTTATGGGGTACTCGACAAATGCCGCAAGAAACTGGAAACCGTCGAGGAAAAGGTCGTCCGAAAAAAGTAAAATATGCATTATCAAAAGACTGACATCATTATTAGGATTGTTCCTATCCTCATCGTCATCATATAATATTTCTGTTTCTGCGTTTATGTTTATCTTTTACAAATTCTCATAAACCTATACGTTGATTTGTTGAACCTATACGGTGTTTGTATTTGTTGAAAGTTTTTGTAAATAGATGAAAAATGAAAGGAGGGGGCCCGCTTTTCATTGATTTTGGCCAACTGCTTTTCCGACCTAGTCTTGATCACATTTTGTAGAGAAAACGATTTTACACATTTTCATGTGCATATCTAGCATTATAACCTTATGGTGACTTTTTAAATAAACTTTTCTGAGGAGGTACATAAAACATATCGATGCTGAGCAAAAACGATTTTGTTCAAAATCCAGTACGAAGTTATCCTAAAGCCTGATGCAGAAAAATAGCTCTTGAAAAGCTCTACAATATTCCGATTAAACAAACCCTACATATCATTGGCTCAATCCTTTAGAGGTCAAATACGAGCCCAAG